AATGTGGAGATCAGAAAGCAGTCAGGACACCAATGTAGAAAGAATGTGGCCTGTGACAGCCTAGTACAGAATTATCAAATGGTGAGGAATCCAGAAGCAAGTGGTGGTGGGATCCCACATGCAGCAGCAGAGACTAGACACTCAACCACATGTCAGAGATCAAGAGCAGGTCAGCACATCACATGGCCGATGTGGGTGAGCAGAGGAAAAAAATTGGCCTAAGGCAAGTAGAATAACTACTGAGAGAAATTATGGGAACAGCAGCTAGAACAGTGGGGTGACAGGCGTAGCAGAGGCATGTGATCAGTCGTGACCCACAAAGACCCAAAGGAGCTCTCAGCACCACTTGGATATCCATCTGCCTAACTGGTGTCTTCACTCGGCTTCTCTCCTTTATTCCTTGAAGATTAAAATTAACCTTTATGAAATATTTACTGAGCATCTGGGAGCTCACACCATGGGTCAAGCTGAACTTTTTTTCAGAATTTTAAATCATTCAGAAAATCATGCATCTTCATCAGTTTCGACTATTACAACAAAGTAGTACAACTAGGTAGCTGTGTGTGTGTGTGTGTGTGTGTGTGTGTTTGAACCTGGGGTGCTCTACGACTCAGCTACATTCCCAGATTTTTTTGTTATTATTATTGGTTATATTAAGACAGGGCCTTGCTAAGTTGCTGAAGCTGGCCTCAAACCTATGATCTTGCTGCATTAGCCTCCCAAGTCACTGTGCCTAGATCCTTAGACACTGGGCTTTCAAATAACATATATTTACTTCTCATAATTCTGGAGGCTGTAAATCCAACATAAGAGTGCCATCATGTTCAGGTTCTGGTGAGGGCCGTCTTCTAGACTGCAGTCTGCTGTATACTCACTGTATCTTCACATGGTGGAAAGAGTTTGAGAGAGTTCCTTGGAGTCCTTTTCATAAGGGCACCAACCTCATTCATGAAGACTCCGCCTTATAACCTAATCATCTCCTAAAGGCCCCACCTGCTAATGGTATCACAATGGGGGTAGGATTTCAACATGTAAAGTGCACACAAACATCCACTTTTGGGGGGGGTATCATTTTGTAAAGAATATATTGGGGCTGAGTATGGTGGCGCATGCCTGTAATCCCGACAGCTCCAGAGGCTGAGTCAGAAGGATCATGAGTTCAAAGCCAGCCTCAGCAAAAACAAGGCACTGAGCAACTCAGTGAGATCCTCTCTAAATAAAATAGAAAAAAGGGCTGGGGATATGGTTCAGTGGTCGAGTACCACTGAATTCAATTCCTGGTATCCCCTCAGCGCCCCCCCCCCCAAAAGAATATATTAGAAAGGTAAAATCCAAAGTCTTTATGTTTTTCCTTTCCCTTTCTGAGGAAACTCCCTTTATTTCTGTTTCTAGTTTCCTCCTCTCCCTGCAGAGGAAGGTTTAGGGTGAATTTTATACCTTCAAGTTGGTGCCTTACAGCCATATCCAGATAGCCTTATCCAAACGTACAAAGAAACTAGTACTGCTTATGTGGACCAAAGAAGAAAGTGAAACAGGGACCAGGGAATTTACAACAACCAATTGAACTAACCTTTCAGATGTGAACACATATTTGCAACAGAGAATACAGAGGTGATGATTTGAAGTCAAACTTCATGGCATATTTTGTGGGCTTTGTTTTTGTTTTGGTCGCCTTTTTTTTTTTTAGTTTTCAATGGATCGATTGATTATTTATTTGTTTGTTTGTTTATTTATTTATTTATATGTGGTGCTGAGGAAAGAACCCAGTGCTTCACACACACCAGGCAAGCACTCTACCACTGAGCCACAACTCCAGTCAATGGCACATTTCTTAAAAGCAATATGGCAGTTCTGAGCTTGTCACAGAATTAAGAGGAGAAATGGAAGCCTTTCTTTTGGAGAGCTGACTTGGAAGGGAAGAACAATGGTCAATTCTCTCTTTCTCTACTGTTCCCTGTTCCACTCGAATACAAAACAAACATTTCTTCTGTTTCATGGGTGGAGAGAACAGGCAGTGAGTGACTGAAGGTCCCTCAACACTGAGCTGTAATCAACTTGGTCCATAGTAACCCCAAGCCAGGGTTTTCCTTCTCAGATTATATCCTTTATTTCCCACCTACATAAGTAACAGAGAAGAAGAAGCCATATTTGGTCAACTGCAAAAAGTCAACCATGGGAGGTAAGAGGACCAGGTCTACTCTGCGGGGAGCTCGAGCAGGACTGACATTGATGGCAGTCAAGTGAAGAGCAGACATGGCAATATTTGAGCTTTCTGTAGAGATAAATAAGTTAGGAAAAGATCAAGAGAGTCTTTAGCTATATGAAGAAGTTTCTTTTCAAAACTTATCCTTAGAGGGATACCAACTGTCAGAAGCTCTTTCTTCTAATGAAGTTCAAATATACCCAAAATAACTCTCCACAAATTCTCTAATTTTTTATGAAAAATTTTATAATTTGAATGTGATGGTAATTCTAGGGCAGGTCTAACATTTCTTTTTTTTTTAATTTTTTTTAGCTGTTGATAGACATTTATTTATTTATTTATTTATTTATTAATATGTGGTGCTGAGGGGCTGGGATTATGGCTCAGTGTTAGAGCGCTCACCTAGCACAGGCGGGACCTGGATTTGATCCTCAGCGCCACATAAAAATAAAGGCATGTGTTGTGTCCATCTACACCTAAAAAAAATAAATATTTTTTTAAAAAATATGTGGTGCTGAAAATCGGACCCAGTGCTTCATACATGCCAGGCAAATGCACTACCACTGAGCCCCAGCCCCAGCCCTAACATTTCTTGATAAGTAAAATATTTTTTCAACAAAGAAAGCAGGGGAAGTGGCTCAGGGGTAGAGCACTTGCCTAATGTGAATTCCTGTGTTTGATCTCTAGTGTGTACGCACACACACACACACACATACATCATATATATACACATATACACACACATACATATGAATATTTTTGTACTCATATATGTACATACACAAAAATATATGTGTGTATAAATTCATATATATAACATATACAAACACACATTTTTTTTTCAACAAAGAATAAGATGCTCCAAGATTTTTAAGACGAACTTGATCATTTATGTCCATTTCGTGTCTAAGGCCAATATGGAAAAATTCAGTGCTGTGAATCAGCAGGATTGAAAAAGAGATTATTGAAACAGCGAGTGAAGTATGTGGTTTTCAAAAATATACCTTGGGAAGGGATATGAAAGCAAAAGTTGAAGTCTCTTTAATAAAAATAATTATAATATCTGAAAATCTAATGTAAAAGCACATTACCAAATATTTTTTACAAAAGTCCAGTATTTTGTTGAAACCATTCAGTAATGCTATAGCAGATAGTACTGCTAAAATATTAAACGTGTAGAGAGTGGGGCGGGGGTGGCAAAGAAGGGAAGGATCTCTGGAAAATAAAAAAAATGACAAAATGGGGGGATGACATCAAAGGAGAAGGCAGTAAAATGGGATGGCTAAAGGAGAGAAGAAGGCAAAAAATTGAAAAAGAATAAGAGGTCATCTGAGCAAATTCTGCTACTTTCCTCCCCACCCCCAAAAGACAAGTTAACAAAGAGGGAAAAAAACCAGAATTTGCTAAAATGGGAACGAAATAGATACTAAAACACTAAACAAAGGGCTATAGAAAGGGAACAGGAAATCTGGTGCTCAGGCCGTTCCCCTATCTCTACTGTGTGCACATTTGGTAACTCCCTGGCCTCTGTTCAAGGGCACAGTTGATTCCTCTATGAAAAACCTGTAGCCAAAAGAATTTTAAACGTTGTTGTACCATCACGTGCATGTGATCAGAGCTTACTCGACCCAAGCTTTCCCTAGATACTCAGGAAAAGTAAGCCAGGGTTGCACAAACCAATGGGAAACAGAGGTCACAAGGAAGAATTTTAAGGGTGGAATGACACAGAAGTACAGAACAGCCTTTAGCGAGCATCTAAATCCTTTAGGAACCACACTGCTGTCTTGGTGTCTGTCCAGCAAAGCAGTCCTCCTCATACTTTAACACACTGGATAAACCCTGAGTTCTACTCTCTTCACCTGGCTAATGCTGCTAATTCTCAGACCACACTGAAAAAATAAGTTATAGAGCATCCTGGTGAACCTGAGTTAGTCAGGTCATGGCGAGGTGGTGGTGGGGAGGGGTAGGCAAACACACACTCATACACACACACACACACACACACCATACACACGAGTCAGCACCCAAAAGCACATTCTTTCCAGCAGGTAACATACAGAGATAAGGACAGAAGCAACATATATTATTCACTCATAACTGAACTTTGTTCTATTTCCCAAGGATTGAGTCTCTGCAGTTACCCTTTAAGACATCCAGGCAAATAGAATTCTCCTCTATTACACAAATATAGACACAAAGACATACCAGGTGTAAGTCCAGTGAATTATAGTATGTCCCATTAGGTGAACTTAAAAATAACCTCTATAACTTTTTCCTACCTTCTTTTCACCCTATTCCTCTTTCATGGAAGAAACATGTCTCTGAGTAGTCCCAAGCTGAGTATCAAGGGTATTTCAGAAAGTTTTAGTGATTATGCAGAAATATCAAGACAGTGTTAAAACGTACACTTCAGGGCTGAACTGATAGTTTGACTCTGATTTCTCCACCAGCTCTACAGATGTTCCTGACATGGAAGCTTCCTTAGTGCTCCTTGTGTGCATAAGAGAGAAAAGAAAGAAAGTGAGTGAATGAGTATATTCATTCTCCCTAAAAACCAGAAGTTATAGTTTGGCCCATAGTGTTAGGCAGAAGTTATAGTTTGGCCTCATGGAAAGAGTTTGAACTAATGTCCTGTACCAGGTGGATGGTCCCCTCTATGTCTCTGACAGAAACTGCCTGCCGGCGATGTGTGTGGGTGTCCCAGGTAGCTACCTAAGTTTGCATACTTCCTGACTGACAGAACACTCCTGCCAGAGCCTCAGGGCCAGGGTGGCAGAGTCAGTGGGAGGAGTAACCAAGTTTCACTTCCTCACCGTTTGGAGACTCACAGCCACAGCAGGCTCCCAGTTCACCCGAGGAGAAGAGTCTAAGGAGCAGCTGAGCCCCTCTCTCCTCTTCCCCACAGCACCTGGCAGGGGCTTCACAGGCGGACGGAAGGGCACGAATGGGCAGAGCAGAACTTCCAGAAGGGAAAATGAGTACCCAGGATCCCTTGGATCTGTGGAGCAGATCAGATGGAGACGCTGAGCTGCTTCAGGACTTGGGGTGAGAGAGAAAATCCTCTTTTCAAAGTGTTTTCTGGGTGAACTTAACCCCTACTCCATCCTGAAAGCTCAATTAATGATTATCCTTAGCTCTTTCTTTCTCTCTGCCACCTCTGTCTTCTAAACTGGCCACTTTATTTGTCTGTATGTGTCAGGTATCTTCCCTTTAGGGGCCTAATTCTGTTGTAAAAACAGATTATTTTTTCCAAATGTGAAAGCAGATAAACATAGAACATGGGACAAAAGTCAAATATTGGACATTCTTTAAAAATAGGGACAGAATTGGGATGTGTGAGTTGATGTTGCCTAGTCAGTTGATATTGCTCTGCTTTACAAATAAATGTGCTCTTAAAGACTTTTGTACAGTGATCTGTTGACAGGCTGTTGCTGGTAAGGTAAACAGAAAGCCTACCCTACTGTAAGTGAGAGGGACTTTTTCTAAAGAGAGAGAATGAGGAAGTTTTTGCCCCAATCTCATTAGTTTCTTTCTCCTCACACTGCATTCATGAGTTCTTTCTTGTATGTATATCTGTAGGGGCAACTTTGAGCCTTTTAAATACCAATAGAACAGAATAAAACTTCTGCCTCAAATAGGTAAGTGTAGGTAGGTGGAGTCATCAGAGTTCTATTTTAAAGAGGGACTAGATGACACAGCTCATTCAGGATATTTACTTCAAGAAACAAGTATTACACAAGAGAAGAAAAGGGAATTTTCTAGAGAAACCAGACCTCCCACCTAATGTACTGGGAATAACCCTGCGAGACTGGTTTTGACACCTGCATTTCCAAAGAGGCCAAACCTGTACCTTCTGCCTGGGTCAATAGCTCTAGATAGATCTTCACAACCCAACAATATAGAAACTGTTGTCATCTTCTTACAAAGAATAAAAACAAGCACCAAAGGGGAGTTTGAATAACTTGCTTATCTTTCAAATGTCAATGTCAAATATCAATGAAATGACAAAGCTGGGATCCCAAGGGCCATGTCTTTAACCAAGGAAAAACTGAAAAAGAATTGTATCTTTTTGTGTTGTATTACTGTGAAATTTCTCAGTGACTCCTTTCCTTGTGTGTGTGTGTGTGTGTGCTGGAGATTGAATCCAGAGGCATTCTACCACTGAGCTACATCCCGAGCCTTTTTTATTTTCTATTTTGATTCAGGGTCTTGCTAAGTTGCTGAGACTGGGATGGGACTGTTCATCCTCCTACCTCAGCCTTCTGTGTCACCCAGATTACCGGTGTGCACATCATGCTCAGCAGTAATTCCCATCTTTAGATTTTAAAACTGAGGTCTCAGAATTGATCTACCTTCTTATGACAAATCAGATGCACTAGGTAGAATTTTCAAAAGGGAAACTCCTGCTACTAGGAAGTCAGAGTTCCATAATATCTCTGTCCTTCTCTATTGAATCTCCAAAGAGAAAAGGTAAAGGCCCCTCCATGAGCATCTAAAACAGGTATCACTAAATCGAAGTGCTCAAGCTAGACTTGGGGTGTCAAAACTATATTGAATCATTAAGCTCTAAGGCTTCACCCTGTTTTGTTATCTATTGACAGCTCACTGTAGTAAGAAACCCCAAGGGAGAAGAGAGACAGAGAAAATATTCAATTTTGGCCCTAAACTAAACAAATCCTTAAACCCAAGATCTGTGCTTGAGTCCTATTGGTGCACACGTAGATGTCAAAGGAACTGTAGGATGTCCCTGTAGACCACTGTGCTGCCAGGAAGAAGACACTATAGATAAATTCCACATTTCCTTCCCTGTGAAAAGAATAGACACTCGATACTAAGTCCAGAGTCTCCAAGAAAAGAAAAAAGTAAAAAAAAAAAAAAAAAAGTGCATTTGTGTCTAGACTTCTTCTTTTCAGAAAAACTGGAAATTCATTAAGCATATGAGTTGAGTTTAGTTTTAGTTTTTTTTTTTAAAGAAAAACATGGGCAAAACTACAGGTTGTAGTTATCTGGGGAAACTGCTTATCACTGTGGTTCTCCATCTTTGCTATGCGCCAGAACAACCCAAGGAGTTTTGTTTTTGTTTTTGTTTTTAAATTCCTGGTGCCCAGACTACACAACAGACAAATATTCTTGGTATCTCTGGGAAAAGCATTTCTCTCCAAGTGATTCAAAAGTGAGGCTGAGACTGAGACTCACAGCATAGAATATTTACTCTCAAAAGCATTGAGTAAGTGTGGTTTTATTATTTACTTTAAGTGTGTTGGGTGTGTACCTGAATCTTCAAATCACTAATAAATGTTGTTTTGTTTTGTTTTGTTTTGTTTTTTGGGGGGAGGGGTCATTTTGGTTAATAACTTAGTTAAGGTATATTTTACATACATAAAATTTACCATTTCAAGTGCATAGTTCAATAAGTTTTATTAACTTTAAGGAGTGATATAACCATCACCATAAATAAGCATTAGAACTTTTTCATTCCACCAGAAGAACTCTCAGGAGCATGGTTCCCCTAGGGTAGGATGGGGAGTAAACAAAATCCTGATTTCTACAGTTTGTCTATTTCCCCAATAGAGACAAACTCAAGCTATTTGCCTCTACCAAGGAATGGACAAGTTCAAACTGCCAAGGGTTTAATATTTTTAATATTAATATTTGCAAATCAAATATTTTACCATTAACCTGAGCCAGTATTTAGCCTTCTAGCACATCACTGATATGCTTTTCATAGGTAATAATTTAAATAATCCTGACAATGACTTGTTGCCTTTGACAGAATTGTGAATCTAAATGAAACTTGTTCTTTGAAGCTTTAACTTACTGAGGGTATTGTCTGGATCAAACCTTCTGATTAATTCAGTTTTTTAAAAAACTCCATAAAAAATGATGTCATGTAATTGATAGATAAAAGGTAGATGGTTTTATTTTTTAAAAATTATTTATTTTCATTGGTGCATTTTAATTATACATAATAGTGACACAGGGCTTGGCAGCACATACTTATAATCTCAGGGGCCACAGTGGCTGAGGCAGGAGCTTGAAAGTACACAGCCAGCCTCAGCACGTTAGGAGGCCCTAAGCAATTTAGTGAGACCCTGGGCCAAAAGTAAAAAGGGCTGAGGGATGTTGCTCAGTGGTTAACTCCCTTTAGGTTCAATTCCTGGAAACAAATAAATAATAATAATAACAACAACAACACGTAATAATAGGAAGGTATCTGACTTTAATGACTTAAGTTTTTAACTATTTTCAGTAGGTTATTTGAGTAGTTAGGTAAATTTTATGTTATATTTTTGATAGCTATACACATAATTTAGTGGTTAAATTATTTTAAAAAAGCATATATCAGTCTTAGTTCTATTTTTCTTCAAGCTCTAGAATATATAAGTTCTGTAAATTGAACCCTGAGCTGAAGTAAATTCATCATTTTCTTTCCAAGTCACTTGCTTAGAGCACAGGATTATTATTCTCTCAAGTCCCTAAATCAAGCAACTCAGATGCATTTCCATCCCTGTCTCATTTATAGTGTCAGTCCAAAAGCATTTATTTTCTTTCAGCCTAAGTGCATTACTGTACTGAAAAGCGAAGGAGGAAGAGGGGAGAAAAAAAAACCTGTCCTAAACTGTGGCTCAGTTTCACTTATACTTTAATGGTGTGGGATTAGGGGGAGTGGGGAGGGGGTGAGGCCTGTTCCCTAATGTGCCACCAGTGTGAACAATTGTGGGTAAGAAGCAGACAGAGATTGTGGTCAGGTCTTCTCTACTTTCAAAATCAAGACAGGGATTTGGCGCAGGGATGGAGGCTGCATTCAGCCCCCTTCCCCTGGTCTCTGCAGCCTCTGGCCAGACCCAAGTGGCCAAATGGATCTGGCAGCTCCCCTTGCCCAGGACCCCCAGGACCCCCCACCAATCCCGCTGGCTACTTCTGTTCCCCACTAGAAAGGAGGATGGGGACTAGTAAGCGCTCTGCATCCAGTTCTTCCAGTCTTATTTTGTAATGGATTAAGAGCCAACCTTTGGGGCTGGGCTGGGGCTCAGTGGTAGAGCCCTTGCCTTGCACACATGAGGCACTGGGTTCGATCCTCAGCATCACATAAAAATAAATAAATAAAATAAAGATATTGTGTCCATTTACAAATAAAAATATATTAAAAAAAAAAAAACGAGCCAAACTTTGAAGATGCCTACACAAAGCAGCCCGTGTTAGATGCTAGAACATACCAGCTAGCTGGGTTGGATCAGCTGGACAAGAATAACATAGAGCCCTAAGAGAACAGCATAGAAGAACTAGTGGAGGTTTCCTGGTGGTCTTCTCAGCCCCAGATTGGCGGGGGTGGGGGTGGGGTGTGCAGTTAGAAGATTCCTGTTTTGAAGACAGATTCTGAGTAAAGGATGATGATGAGTTTCCAATGATTTTAATTGGTAGTAGGAAGAACAACAGTTGGCATGGCAACTTAAGGTACATAAATGAAAATATCAGCAAAGGTTAAGATGTATATAGATTAAGCTTTCCATGAATTTGCTTGAGATATAAGAGTATTTCAAGAGCAGGTCCTTCACCAGAAACAATTTGGAAAGCAAAATACAGGAAAGGCTGACGTTATGTCAGTTTGTCAGACTTCCTTAAGTTACTTTTAGCCACCAACTACCAAGAAAAGCCCTCTGCCCCTCACAGTTTAAATCACAAGGGTACCACTCTGGCCCTAGACCAAAGATCATCGTGAAGCCCAGAAGCTGGCTAATCCTTCCATGAAACTAATACAACTGTCATTTCCAAACCTAAAGGAAACACTACGGCTGCTTTAGAGATTATCATATTCCTTTAAAAAAAAAGAAAAGTGTATATACATACATACATACACACACACACACACATACACACACAGACAAATTCTGTGTATAAGGACTTATGTTTTTTTAAGCTGTAATTTTTAGCTTCTGGAATTACATGGCCTGTTTCTCTAATAGAAATACAGGGAGCTGTTTAAAAATTTAAAATGTTATGTCACCTCCAGTTAACCTTAAACACACTCTAAAGGAATCTACAAA